CTGGTGAAAATTTCATGTCATTAGCACCTCTAGTAATATATTTACTGAGAAAAATGGTGACGTGTTCAATACTTATTTTACCCGCTGTACTTGGTTAAGTGTGCAGTGTTATGTGGCCCTCGTGTCAACAAAACAAATTTTGTCATTGTATGGGAACATGCATCGATGACGATACACTTCACACAAATTAAATGTGGTAAATTTGCACCTGAATTTACTGTCAGTTTGCCCATGCTTTGTAAACTGGAAACGAGGACGCGCCACAAGGCTTGGTGTTGTCACTTAATAAGCGGGGTGGTGCACGTTCATCTGTCAGTGCATCTGGGAAACACCAGATGTGAGGTTCGACAAAATGCTCTCGGGCGCCATGTATCAAATCCTCCTGCCAGCCGAGTCTTGAAACGAGGCGACACCTTCAACATTCAGCAAGCTGGACTGAAAATGTTGGACGCCAGCCAAGCGCTCTTAGCGAGATGTATAAAACACTGACCAGTTCGCAGGATGGAGTCAGCAGCTTCCACAGCCAGAGGCGCTCTCGGTGAAATTGGGCTGTCAAGTGCTTACAGTAAAAAGTTCACTGAAAAACAACATGCAACACTTGATGCGGGGGAGAAAACTGCAAGGCGGATCTGTGTCATGTCATAAAGGCAAGCTCAAGATCATGTTCACATCTGACCGCTCGAGTAGAACTGTGAAATATTTACATGAAACATGGACACAGTCAGCAGGCCATTTATGTGTTGGAGTGAAAAAAGTTTTTCACATTCATGCCACACTTTGAAAATGATTCCCAGACAAGGCACCTCTGAATCCTGGGATTTAATTTTAATGAATATAGAAACTGATTTAAACTCTTTCACAAATAAAACAGTTTGTCTAGAGTACGTTGTGCTTTCATAAAATATGAGCACAACCGATGTGTTTAGTTTAATTTACATAAGTAAATAAAAAAGCTTTAGAATGTAATCAAGGTCACCGATAGTGCAAACAATATTTCTACCAATACCACCTGGAGCTATAAAAAAAGGCAAATATGTAGATGTTGCATCAAATGCTTAATGTTATTTTCATGCAACATTTAGTTTGTGAAACAGAAAAAGGCCAGTATATGCTCACTAACATATTCTGTGAGCATATTAGACACATTTATTATAAATGATAAGCTAAAAGCTATCAGTAGAAAATATTGTTGTGCCATTCAATACAAGCTTTAAAATAAAGCATAAACTTCAAGTTATTATTGACAAATAAATGAGGGAATATCTACCTCATTTATTTTTACATTTTTTAGGGAAAAAACAAGGATGTAAAATTAAATTAAAGTGTATGAAAATGCCAATTATGTCAGATTTTCTGTGTTATTTTTGTATTTTTTGAAAATCAGAAAAATATATTCAAGCCACTGTTCAAACTCAGAACAGGAAGCAGAAAATTGATTTTGTTATTTAGAGGGAAAATGTCATGTTTTCATAAAACTAAAGTTTGTTTAAAAGATGTGCTAAAATTATTAGTTTTTTAAGTTAGAAACAGTTAAACATTGTCAAATAAATTGTCATTTATTAAGTGCTTTCTTGATGTTTGTTTAAAATAAACACTTTGAATAAACTTATTGTTGCTAGCTCTTGTGTTAGGCTGGCAAAACGGAAAAGCTATGTATGTAGCTAACATTATTTTCCCCCATGCCTTCGCAAATTACATGAGACACACTGTTTTTATTTACTAATTATTTCAGACTGACAATAACAGTATTCTATCAAAAATAGACTAACAAAAAATGCATTTTAAACAACAAAAAAGTATTTTTTTAATGTACGGTTTATAGATTTTGAAACTTAGCTAAAAATAGCCCAAGCCGGGAGGATTACGGGAAGTTTTATAAATGAAACAGTAAACGTAGTGGGGGAGTTGGTTTTCCAAGCTGTTTGTGTTAGTGTATGGAGGAACAAAACTTCATCGATTGTGCAGACCTGCACTGCCTCAGTTTAGCCTATACTTTACAGTTTATTTAAAGGGGCAATATTAAGTGTTTGTCAGGAATATATTTAAGTTCTATACCATAAAACAGTAACTATGTCACCTTTAGTTGTTATTAAAATGATGGTTTTTATGTTTAAATAGAAAACAAACTCTTTTTCTCATCATATCTGTTTCTAAACACCTTGAAATTGGACTCTGTCTCTTTAAGACCCTCATTCCACTTCTGTCCCACCCATTTCAACAGGGCGGGGGTGGGGGGGGAGTGATATGGAAGCTCAGTGTAGTTTACCTGGCATCTGAAAACACATTTCCTCAAAAGTATTTTGAATTTGAAAAGGGCCGCGCTGAGAAGTTTCATTTTCACTTTCAGTTTCACCAGTTGTTTGCTTTGTTGCTGCGGGGGTGGGGAGGCGTGCTCTGTGATGAGGAAGCTCAGCTTGGAGATGCAGCCCAGAGGAGGAGCTAGTCCCAAAAGGCGGTTCTAGTCCCAACCAGTCGTTTTTGCTCCCCTGCCTGGCTGCCTCAGGACACTACAGGATTTCTCAAACATGCATGAGTGAGTCAAAGCAAGACTCTGAGCATGTTTTTGATGAGAGGATAACATTATAACATGATATAAAGCTCAAAAAAGTTGATTTTACATGATATAGCCCCTTTAAAACAAAGACAGGTTTGCGTTTTCCTCTTTTCTTTGTTTTGATCTAAACTTTCAACTTTAATCTAAACTGAGGCAGCACCAGCATGGATCCTGCTCCTTTCTGACTGTTGACCAATAGGAGACGAGCTGACACAAGAAGAACTGCCTTATTTGCATAATGAGGCAGAAATACATAGGTCATGTAAATACAGGCTGTTTTTCAGCATATGGTACTGGCAAACTTCAAATAATTGAAGGAAGGATGAGTGGAAAAATGTACAGAGACATTCTTGATAAAAATCTGCTTCCATCTACCAGGATGATGAAGATGAAAGATGATGAAGATGATGAAGATGAAAGGTGGCTGGACATTCCAGCAAGACAATGAGCCCAAAC